GTTGATGAATATGCAACAATTTCTACATGAACTGAGACCAGTCCATAAGAGTATGTTTTTCTCACGGACAATGACAATATAAAAACAAAGCGAATAAAACCAAACGTTTCGGACAACAACGTGCCTTCGTCAGTGGAGAAAAAATAAGTGATAGGTTTAACATCGATGAGAACTATATGCGGCACCGTCTCGGTCTGGCCAGCCGGGTTGCCGATAAAATACAAAAATGTTTAAAAGCTTCCATGATGTGCTTAAAAACTGCTGAAAATATATCTTAAAAAATAAAGATAACTACTTCATCGATTTTATCGAAAGAAAACATGTAGGTATGCCTAATTACTTATTTCTTGCCACTGACGGAGGCACTTTTTTGTGCGAAACGTCTGGTTTCATTCGTATTGTCATTGCATTGTCATTCCCTGTGAAAAAAGGATAACTCTTCAGTTAGTAACCATAACAGCGAAACGGCTTAATGTAACACAATTCACTGTGTATACGAAACCTATAATTGTCCCTAAAAATAATCCTATTTACAACTTTTAAAAAGATACAGCTTATGCAGCTTAGGCATATAATTTTTTTCTGCATTAAGATAATATTCATTTATCTCCACAGAATATGGTAAATTAGTGATGCTGAAGTTCGCTTTCGAAGCGTCTCCTCCAGGCATTCCACAGCTCTCGTGCCATTTTGGATCACGGAACATGGCTGGGCGCAGGACAGGCCGTCTGCGAGCTTGGACGGACCACGTGACCACCTTCTCCCCTCCCCCTCACTCCCGTCCCCTTCCCCAGCAGGGCGTCCGATCTAACCGCGCCCCAGGCAGTCGGCTCGGTCCGACCCTCCGCCTGGTCGAGCCACGGCCCGGTGCCGCCTGAGTTTGTGCCGGGTGCAAAACTGGAGCAGTAACTAGCGCCGGAACTAGAAGTCAGCACGACCGTCGTCAGATGGCAGGAGTAAATGGAATAAGCGGTTCCAGGTTTCAGAAGGAATGGGGCAGGAAAAAGCGCTGAAAACAATGTTTTGCTGATATAGCCATAAAAAGTTCACTGAATTAGGAAAGCAGCACATCAGTTTAAAGCCCTTCAGATGGTGGTTTTAATAAGCACACAATCATTTCCCAATTCGCCTCCAACGGTGTCACAGGCAAAGAATACGCTGAAATACTAGTGTGTACAGAAGCAACTGCGGGTCCCTGTACCAATCTCTGTGTCTCGTAACGGCGCACACGCTCGTTTTTTCCGCGACGCGCTAGCTCCACCAGGGGCGAAACGGCGAGGGGGGGTCGTACCCGCCCCCCCCCCCTCGGCCGGCGCGTATGTAGAAAACCAATAGGTCCGGCGAGGGTTAACGGCCAATTAACATTTTAACGGGAAACGGCGGGGTCTTTCGATTTGGCTGAAAATCGGTGTACAAGGCCTTCACGATGCGCTGATTCCGAAAATGTACCTCTTTGGGGTAGTATTTTGCACCGTTAACGAGTTAACGACCAATTAACATTTCAACGGGAAATGGCGGGGTCTTTTGATTTGGCTGAAAATCAGTATACATGGCCTCCTCGATGCGCTGATTACGAAAATGTACCTCTTTAGCGTGGTATTTTGCACCGTTAACGAGTTAACGACCAAATAACATTTTAACGGGAAACGACGGGGTCTTTCGATTTGGCTGAAAACCGGTATACTGGGCCTCCTCGATGCGCCGATTTCGAAAATGTGTCTCTTTGGGGTGGTATTTTGCACCGTTAACGAGTTAGCAATCTGTTAACATTTCAGCAGCATATATCGATTTCAGCAGCAAATTTTCGTGGTCTTTCGATTTGGCTAAAAATCGGTATACAGGGCCTCCTCGATGCGCTGATTCCGAAAATGTGCCTCTTTGGGATGGTATTTTGCACCGTTAACGAGTTAACGACCAATTAACATTTTAACGGGAAACGGCGGGGTCTTTCGATTTGGCTGAAAATCTGTGTACAGTGCCTTCTCGATGCGCTGATTACGAAAATGTACCTCTTTAGGGTGGTATTTTGCACCGTTAACGAGTCAACGACCAAATAACATTTTAACGGGAAACGGCGGGGTCTTTCGATTTGGCTGAAAACCGGTATACAGGGCCTCCTCGATGCGCTGATTTCGAAAATGTGCCTCTTTGGGGGTGGTATTTTGCACCGTTAACGAGTTAGCGATCCGTTAACATTTCAGCAGCATATATCGATTTCAGCAGCAAATTTTCGTGGTCTTTCGATTTGGCTAAAAACCGGTATACAGGGCCTCCTCGATGCGCTGATTTCGAATATGTGCCTCTTGGAGGTGGTATTTTGCGCCGTTAACGAGTTAACGATCAGTTAATATTTCAGCAACATATATCGATTTCAGCAGCAAATTTTCGGGGTTTTTCGATTTGGCTGAAAATCGGTATACAAGGGCCTCCTCGATGCGCTGATTCCAAAAATGTACCTCTTTGGGGTGGTATTTTGCACCGTTAACGAGTTAACGGCCAATTAACATTTTAACGGGAAACGGCGGGGTCTTTCGATTTGGCTGAAAATCGGTGCACAGGGCCTTCTCGATGCGCTGAGTTCGAAAGTGTGCCTCTTTTGGGTGGTATTTTACACCGTTAACGAGTGAACGATCCGTTAAAATTTCAGCAGCATATATCGATTTCAGCAGCAAATTTTCGGGGTCTTTCGATTTGGCTGAAAATCGGTATACAACAGGGCCTCCTCGATGCGCTGATTCCGAAAATGTACCTCTTTGGGGTGGTATTTTGCACCGTTAACGAGTTAATGGCCAATTAACATTTTAACGGAAAACGGCGGGGTCTTTCGATTTGGCTGAAGAACAGTATACATGGCCTCCTCGATGCGCTGATTACGAAAATGTACCCCTTTAGGATGGTATTTTGCGCCGTTAACGATTTAAAGACCAAATAACACTTTAACGGGAAACGGCGGGGTCTTTCGATTTGGCTGAAAATTGGTATACAGGGCCTCCTCGATGCGCTGATTTCGAAAATGTGCCTCTTTGGGGTGGTGTTCTGCACCGTTAACGAGTTAACGACAAAATAACATTTTAACGGGAAACGGCGGGGTCTTTCGAAATGCTAATTGGTCGTTAACTCGTTAACGGTGCAAAATACAAAGAGGTACATTTTCGGAATCAGCGCATTGAGAAGGCCCTGTACACCGATTTTCAGCCAAATCGAAAGACCCCGCTGTTTCCCGTTAAAATGTTAACTGGCCGTTAACTCGTTAACGGTGCAAAATACCACCCCAAAGAGGTACATTTTCGGAATCAGCGCATCGAGGAGGCCCTGTATACCGATTTTCAGCCAAATCAAAAGACCCCGCCGTTTCCCGTTAAAATGTTAATTGGTCGTTAACTCGTTAACGGTGCTAAATACCACCATAAAGAGGCACATTTCCGGATTCAGCGCATCGAGAAGGCCCTGTATAACGATTTTCAGGCAAATCGAATGACCCCGCCGTTTCCCGTTAAAATGTTAATTGGTCGTTAACTCGTTAACGGTGCAAAATACCACCCCAAAGAGGCAACTTTTCGGAATCAGCGCGTCGAGGAGGCCCTGTATACTGATTTTCAGCCAAATCGAAAGACCCCGCCGTTTCCCGTTAAAATGTTAATTGGTCGTTAATTCGTTAACGGTGCAAAATACCTCCCCAAAGAGGTAACTTTTCCGAATCAGCGCATCGAGAAGGCCCTGCACACCGATTTTCAGCCAAATCGAAAGACCCCGCTGTTTCTCGTTAAAATGTTAACTGGCCGTTAACTCGTTAACGGTGCAATATACCACCCTAAAGAGGCACATTTACGGAATCAGCGCATCGAGGAGGCCCTGTATACCGATTTTCAGCCAAATCGAAAGACCCCGCCGTTTCCCGTTAAAATGTTAATTGGTCGTTAACTCATTAACGGTGCAAGATACCACCCCAAAGAGACTCATTTTCGGAATCAGCGCATCAAGGAAGCCCTGTATACCGATTTTTAGCCAAATCGAAAGACCCCGCCGTTTCCCGTTAAAATGTTAATTGGTTGTTAACTCGTTAACGGTGCAAGTTACCACCCCAAAGAGGTACCTTTTCGGAATCAGCGCATCGAGGAGACCCTGTACACCGATTTTAAGCCAAATCGAAAGACCCTGAAAATTTGATGCTGAAATCGATATATGCTGCTGAAATGTTAACGGATCGTTAACTCGTTAACGATGCAAAATACCACCCCAAAGAGGCACATTTTCGAAATCAGCGCATCGAGAAGGCCCTGCATACTGATTTTCAGCCAAATCGAAAGACCCCGAAAATTTACTAAGTGAAATCGATACATGCTGCTGAAATGTTAACGGATCGTTAACTCGTTAACAGTGCAAATACCAGCTCAAAGAGGTACATTTTCGGAATCAGCGCATTGAGGAGGCCCTGTATACCGATTTTTAGCCAAATCGAAAGACCCCGCCGTTTCCTGTAAAAATGTTAATTGTCGTTAACTCGTTAACGGTGCAAAATACCACCCCAAAGAGGTACGTTTTCGGAATCAGCTCATCGAGGAGACCCTGTACACCGATTTTAAGCCAAATCGAAAGACCCCGAAAATTTGCTGCTGAAATCGATATATGCTGCTGAAATGTTAACGGATCATTAACTCGTTAACGATGCAAAATACCACCCAAAAGAGGCACATTTTCGAAATCAGCGCATCGAGAAGGCCCTATATACTGATTTTCAGCCAAATCGAAAGACCCCGCCGTTTCCCGTTAAAATGTTAATTGGTCTTTAACTCGTTAACGGTGCAAAATACCACCCCAAAGAGGTATATTTTCGGAATCAGTGCATCTAGGAGGCCCTGTATGCCGATTTTCAGCCAAATCGAAAGACCCCGAAATATGCTGCTGTGAGGCTGATATTCGTTGCTGCTTAATTGACAGACGTGATCTACGTAGCTATTTTCACCATCCTTGGTTTGCTTACAAATCTTGCGCTCTGCCGCCTCGGGGATTTAATGGCCTTGGGCGTTGTTTTTCGCATGTTTGGTCGTGAATTTGTGGTAATTTCACTATAATTCGTTGCAAATATGATTCAGATCATTCAGATAAGTCGAGATAAATTTCTGTGAACGAGAAATCAAGGGTATGTACCGATTCTGTCGTTTCTAATTGGCCGAAGCCAACGCAAAAAAGCAGGGCGACTTTCGACCCCGGCCCTGTTATTCTTGTTTCTATGGACATTTGTGTTTATCATGAAATTAAATAATGATGCATGGGTATACCATCATTTATCTAAAAATTATCCTTAAATTAATGCGATCCACTTGTGATCAAGTTGCGGACTGGAGCGTGGCACTGGCAGTAAAGCAATATGAAGATGTATTGTCACGTTTTGAGGTTTCAGTGTGTAGGCTCCGGATAGGGCTTCACATGTGCTACCCATAAGTTTCTGCTCTGTGGCGCTGAGTGGCCGCTTTGTCCTTAGTGCTGGGAGTATCTTACAATTTGACACGGGCTAGAAATTAGAATCGTTCCAGGGGTTGTACTCCGAGTGGCTTGTGCTAAGTGGCTCAGAATGTATTGTGAATGGTACAGTTATGAATATTGAAATGCCTGGACCCTGTATAAGTGTCTGCAGCTGCCGCAGCTCCAATAAGGCTCAGCCCCCCAGCCATTGGGGCTGTGGCAGTGCAGAACACTTGAACAGGGTCCTGGAGGATTTTGGGCCCAGCTGTGGTGAAGCATTGAAGTTGTCAATGATTCAATATGTTCTATATTAACTCACAGATCAGCACCATGAACATCATGAAGAAGTTCTGGGGCTCTGGCGGCTCAGCCCCGGAGGATGCCGTCATGAGCCAGCAGATCGCGCTCAGCCTCACCCACCTGCGGAAACTGTACGCTGAGTACGTCAGGCCGCCACAGCCGCTGACGGAGCCGGAGAGGGAGGCTAAGCTGTACAGCATGCTGCCTCTCTTCTGCAAGGTAGGGTGGGTGGGATGGAGGGAAAGGGTGGAATGATCACTTAGTCTAGCAATGGCGATAGTTCAACTTCATAAGTTTGGTAAATGACCTATAGCTTTATGGTTTTGTGTGCTTAACTATAATTATTTTTGTATTTTTATGGGATGAATTTAAGTCATAATTGTTTGATGGCTGGAATAGAGCCATGGCCTGGGATTTCTCGTTTTTCTTTTTTTGAAGACAATTCAACAGTGAATATGACAGTGCAGATGCTAAGAAGGCATGTTTGCACACCTCAGCAGCAGGCTAAACCATAAACACCTTACATAGGTATACCTGATACCTATCAAAAGTACCAATGCTGCTCCACATTTTGAAGAGATTTGTTTTTTATCTTCCATCTCTCGTCCCTCTTTCCCCCTCTCTCCTTTCTCCTTTCTCTTGACTCTGCTTTCTCTTTTCCTTCCCCCCTCTCTCTCACACACAACCTGCTCTCTCTCTCTCTCTCTCTCTCTCTCTCTCTCTCTCTCTCTCTCTCTCTCTCTCTCTCTCTCTCTCTCTCTCTCTCTCTCTCTCTCTCTCTCTCCTCTCTCTCTCTCCTCTCTCTCTCTCTCTCTCTCTCTCTCTCTCTCTCTTTCCTCTCTCATGCTCTTCCCTTTTCCCATCGCTCTCTCTTCCCATCCAATCCTCCCTCCCTTTCCCTCTCCCCTTTTGTTCCCTCTGCTCCATTTCTCACCCGCTCCCCTCATCCCTCTTTCTCCCTTCTCACCCTGTTATTTACCTCCTCTCTCCCACGCCAGGTATTTGCCGGCTCCTCCGGCCAGGAGATCTGGGACCGGTTCCCTCAGTGCGTCCAGCTCAGCGAGTTTGCCACGAAGCTGATGGTCACTGAAATCAGACGGCGGGCTTTCAATGAGAACACTGCGCTGGCCAGCTGTGAGATCATCAGGTGAGAAAGGCAGGGGTTGTCGGACTTTCGTCCTCGTCTTGAGGTGAGATATTAGCGCTCTGAAGTGGATTGTGAGAGTGATTGCCAAGTCAGATTGCTTCATTCATTCATGATCATTAAACATTGGGTTAGGTATTGGGAGAGGAGGTTGGTACGGGATGGCTGGGAGAGAAGGTCTGGGGGAGGGTTGGTAGAGAGGGTAAAGAACTGTTGCTGTTGTTGAGCACGAACACTGAAGAAGAATATCGGCCACAGGGAAGCAGGAATGAAAGGGCGAGGGCCTTTCACCATCGCTAAATTTACCACGTCCTGGCTCTCACTGCACAGTTACCTGGAGATGGGCAGTGCGGAGGAGTCCTCCAACGGATGGATGCTGCTCAACACTCTGAACCTGCTCAGCTCGGCCGGACCCACCGTTGTACAGGTAAATAGATCCGGAACGCGGACTCTAGATACTGTCGTACTGGTAAATAGATCCGGATCCTAAATTGTCTGGGCCGTCGTACGGGTATGGCGATCCGGAAGTTGAACTGTCGTGCGCTGGTCTGTGGTAAGGGTAAGGGTGCTCTGATTATGGACTGTGGTACCGGACGTGAGCTGTTCCTGATCTGGGAGATTTAGTCGGATAGGTAAGAGGAATGTGTTTCAAACGCTAACGACTACCGATACGGTACCGATTATCTCAATATCCGACAGTGATTTGTCAAACAGTGCACCACACCATAACACCCACTCTCCCCCTCCCCTCCCCCCTCTCTCTCTCTCTCACTCTCTCTTTCTATCTCTCTCTCTTTTCTCTCTCTCTCACTCTCTCTCTCTCTCTCTCTCTCTCTCTCTCTCTCTCTCTCTCTCTCTCTCTCTCTCCAGTCGATGGTGGCCGCAGCTCTGCCCTCCACGCTGGTCAAGTGTCTGTACCTGTTCTTCGACCTGCCCGAGCTGGGTACCGACGTGGCGGCCGGCACGGAAATCACCCCGCAGGAGAGCAGGAACCTGCTGCAGAAGGTGTTTGTTCAGGTGAGACAATCACAGTGTTTGTGGTCGAGGTGAGTCGGTGTTTGTCAAGTGTGGTAAGTGTTTGTCTAGGGGAGGAAGTGCTTGGTAGGGTGGGAGTTATTTGCCCAGTCAAAGAAGTGTTTTGTAGTTGAGACAGTGTTTGTCGAGGCCGGATTAACTCTGAACTTTTATTATATTATCAGCTCTTACCTGCATTCTGACTTACAATCAACTTATCTGTGATAAAGTGAGAGAATATGTCTCTAACGCCAGGAAACTAAGAATGGTGTAGCTTGTAAGCAAGATCACAAAAATGCACATCCCTGTCAGCGTTTACTATTGGCCAAATGTCAATCACTGCTCAACACCTGTCAGACCAGGTAGTGCCTTTGCGTTAGCTGATTATGTACAAGGTGAGCAAGTGCAACAACCTATTCAGTGTCTGATACGATGTGCATCATGATAACAAGGCTGTTGATAAGGGCTTTGTTAAATCAGTGCTGGTGCAGTGCCATCGTGCGTATCAATCTGTTTGCTGTCCTTATTGACAAAACGACGCCATTTTTAAATTGTTAAATTGACCTCAGCTCTCATGCAGTTTCAGTTGCTCTTAGCCAGAAAGGGATCACTTTTAAGGATTGCTTTTTCTGATGACATTATTTTTGTACCGCTTTGCTCTTTATTGACAAATCATGGTTTGGATTGGTATTCAATGTGCATTTTCTCGCCTGTTAACACAAACAAAACTTTGTTTTTTTTTCGTAACCTTTCTCCCCTGTTCTTCCTTTTCCCCATTTCATCCCCTTCCGAGTCGAGCCTGGTTATTATTCTTAGCAAACATGCTGTCGTTCAGAACATAATCTCCTCTTGGTTTCTCACACATTTTCTGTGTGTGGGCCCTCCTTTCCTCTCCCCCTCCCCACCCCCTCCCAAACCCCACACTACTACACTGTACCCCTCATGACGTCACGCCCGTCCGCCGTCAGCTGATGAGCCGTCTCTGTACGAGTCCCTGCGCCGCCGACGAGCTGGCCCGACGGGACGACCTCAGTCTGCTCTTCTCGGCAATGACGTCATCATGTCCGGCCCACAACGTCAGCTGGCGGAAATCGGCCAGCGAGGTGCTGATGGGTCTGAGCAGGAGTGGGCTCAGTCAGAATACCATCAACTATATACACAGTGAGTGTGGTAAAGAACACGACAAACTATATACACAGTGATTGTGGTATAGAGCACCATCAACTATATACACAGTGAGTGTGGTATAGAACATGATAAACTTTATACACAGTGAGTGTGGTAGGTATAAAACACGATAAACTTTATATACAGTGAGTATGGTATAGAACACGATCAACTATATACACAGTGAGTGTGGTATAGAACACCATCCACTTTATACACAGTAGTGTGGTATAGAACACCATCAACTATATACACAGTGAATATCGGGGATAGAACGCCATCAAATGCATACACAGTAAGTATCGGGGATAGAACACGATAAACTTTATACACAGTGAGTGTCGGGGATACAACGCCGTCAGGCATCAACTATGCCTGATGTCCGCGCTGGTCCGGAGCGCCGCGGCAGGACCTGCGCAGCGGCACCTCACTCAGCGTCGTCGGCCGGCTGTCGCGGCGCACTGTGACCCCGTCATGTATTGCGAGCCTCTGCATAAAAAACTACATACACCGTGAGTGTGTTATAGATTCGACAGCCATATGTATGTGTACTCAGTGAGTGTGGTATAGAATACGACCACTTGTATACGCAGTGGGTATGCTTAATGACATAGCTTCGTTGTGAGGATGATAGAAAGCTTAGTAGTGAGGGTGATATAGAAAACACTGACTACATAGCAACAACATATCTAGTTTATGAAACTTTCAAAAGCGTTAAAGCCTTGCCCGGGCCGCTCTCACCGAGTTTTATTCTGTTGAATTGAAAAGACTCCCTTTACGTTTAGCGCTCGCTCGTAAAAATTTACGCATAATATCTTATGATAATGCATCGAACTCCACGCGGATGGTGGCCAGCATCCCCGTCATTGTTTTCCTCTCTCCAACCTAGCCTTGCTCCTAGCGAGACTCGGCGCCTCTGCAGATTCAGAACAATCTGCAGACGGGTGGCAGCGGTGTTTCTCAACCGACTGCAATTCGTCGCGATTGATCAAATCTCTGAGGGAATCGTCCATTTAACCTTGGCTTGTCCGCCTGCAGTCTGCAAGCGTCAGCTTGCCCTTTTACCCCCTCTCTTTCATTTCCCCCTCTACCTCCCTCTCTCTCTCCCTCTCTCTCTCTCTCTCTCTCTCTCTCTCTCTCTCTCTCTCTCCTGCCTCTTCTCCTGTCCCTCTATCTCTCCCACTCTTTCGTCTCCCACACTCACGTCTCTCCCTAACTCTTCCCAATCTCTTCTCTTCCCACTATTTTTCTTCTTCCTCTTACTCACTCCCCCTTCATCATCTCTCTCCCACCGTCCCCCACTCCCCTCCCTCTCTCTCACTCACTCCATTTTTCTTTTCTCTCAGATAACGGCTGCGTCAGTCTGTGCGTGGACAACATGCGTGCGGCGGATGACCTGCCGCCCCTGGAGACTGTCGAGATGTTCGTCAGCCTCTTCTGCTTCCTCAAGGACTCTGCGGACGTGTCGCAGGTGCTGCTGGCAGACCTCCGCTCCAGCCAGGGCTACATCTTCCTCGGCGAGTTCCTGCTCAAGTAAGAACTTGCGGCGTTGGATGTAGTTGACATGCGACTTGGTTGTTGCGGCTCTGACGACTGTTGCGACTACAGAGCCATCTGTATGGGTTGACACTTCTAGGTGCATTGAATGCTGATTCATGTAGTGGGTGCTAGTTGGTGATTGGTGAAGCTCCTACCCAGCAGCCTCGCCTGATAAGGGGATGGTTAAGTTTTAAAGATTTGTTCCAATATTTTGGCGGTCTGAAATTCGTTACTCGGCTGAGATTCGCATGATTTCTGTCGATTCAGGCATGTCTTTCACCAGATTGAAATAGATAAATTGCTGTTTTGATTACGTCTTGGGCTTTCCATTCCAGCAAATGGAACAAAATCGATCTCTCCGCGATCATTTTGTCTTAAAATATCCGCCACGAAATACCGCTCCTTCCGCTTGTCTCTGCTGTCTTTTTCCGAAACTCCCCCTCTCCCCCTCCCTCCGTCAGATCGCTCGTTCTTCTTTTCTCTTCCACGAGCTATCGTTTCCCGAAACTCACCCTCCCTCTCTCTCTCAGACTGGAGCAGGACTTGGCGCCCGAGTCGACGGACGCCGCCCGTAACCTGGTGCTCCTGCTGGCCTCGCTGGCCATGTGCGGCCACACCGAGCTACAGCCCTCCCAGGCGGCCGCCGGCACCCCGTTCAAACTGTCCGGCTTCTCCGTGCCGCAGCCATCCGGCCTCGGTGAGTGTGGGAGACTATGACTATGACTATGACAGTGTGTGAGACTAGGGTGAGTGTGTCTGGCAAACCTAAGAAAGAAAGGAGTCAAAGCGCTTGAATCACTTTGCACGTGTTTCGAGCACTTGAAATGTATGGCTTGGAGAAATGTGTGTCAAAAGTTGTGAGAGAAAATACGCTCTCACAATATAAATGCACATGCATTTTGCATGCAGCAATGACCGCAGCACTTTATCCATTCCTTCTTAGGTTTGCCAGACCATAGCATTCCTTTCCCTATCCCTCTGCCCTTGGGGATGGGAGAGGGCTGTTAGCTGGGAGAGGGTTGTTAGATGTAGTTAGTTGGGAGTAGTTAGTGTAGATAAGTGAGTATGAGGCCGGTGGGTAGGGTCGTGGCGAGGGATGGCTAGAGTCGGTGGGATGGGTGGATGGATGAATGACAAGCTGCTCGTCCCTCCGCTGCTCTCCTTTTCACGAATGCACCCGTATTGTTTCATTTAAATGTAAGACCGCGTAAGCCACTCTGCACGTGGGTTTATACATATTTGAACGTGCGATTAGACGGTCAGGCCACCTCAACATGCACGGTTGATAAGCAATCTGTGTGAGGCTGCGCGGTAGTCTCGGAGCGTCTAAGCCCAGCGTCAACCGGCGTCAGGCCGCCGTTCCGGTCACACACGTTTGTCACAGCAAATGCCTCCATAGCTCATTGTGGAGTGTGGACCCTCATTTCGATGGCGATGGTTAAATGAACGATGATGGATGACCACCGGGCGTCCTGTCGCGTCCTAATCCGTCCTGCTCGAAAGCCCTGCCCACCTCTTGAATGTGTCAACAAGCCAACCGATGACAGCTCACCACGGACTGTGACAAGCAATCTGTGTAGCAACTAGCACCGCTGCAATGGCCGCCCTCAGGTCATTTGGAGTCGAACCGCCGTCCCAGTCAAGTCACAGACGTACGCGATTGTTGTTATTCACGTCTTCATAGCTCAGCGCGGACCCTCAGTTCGTTGGAGATGATTGAATGAACGATGACGGGTGACCTCCGGCCGTCCTACCCGTCCTGAACTCCGTGCTCTGTTTCAATGCCCTGCCCACCTTTGGAACGCCCCTAAAAGCAAACAAGATAGTCCAACAACTGATAAGCAATCTCTGTGCAACAGGCGCTGCAAGTCATTCGTCGCCGTACCGCAGTTACAGTAACATGAACGCGGTACCACCCTTGTCCGTAACTCAATATAGCTACCCATTATGGGGATTATCCCCTCAGTGATCTCATTCATCATTGTGCTGACCGTCGGCCGGCATGTGGTCTCCGCCACCGACTGCCGAGAGTCCAACTGTCAGTTTGTTGTACGGGAAGAATGTCAGACCTCCGAGTCAGTAATCTGCGACATGAAAAACCGGCCATTGAAACAGGTAGGTGAAGACGGTTAGGTACGTTAAATGAGAATAAAAAACTAAACAAATAAACAAATAACACAAATAACAAAAATTACAATAACAAGATAACAAGAAGTGTAATAAAATAATTATGAAAGTGATAATAAAATGATATGAAATAAATATAACATGTTTAATAGTCATAGATAATATGATGGTGATGATTATGATGATGACAGATGGTTCGTGTGTCCATTCCAGATAAACATCACGGCAGCGTCGTTTCCAAGAGGTGTACGAGAAATCAAAATAGCCAATGCTGAGACCATAACGATCGGTGCGGACTCTATCTCCTCTCTGATTTTTTTGGAGGACATAGAGATCACCAACGTCAACACCTTGATCCTGCTGCCCAGGTCTCTGGCGCGTGGCGGCAACCCCGAACGGATCACGGTGAGGATAACAGCAGTGACGAATCTTCAGCTGCATTCAAGTACATTCGAAGACTGGAGAGGAGACTCCAGAATCACCATAACAGATGTGGATGACTGCCAGCTGTTACCGTTTTCCACTGCCAACGCACAGTTTCGCAGCTTGACATTCAGCGGAATACGATCACTGGCTGTTCATGAAAGCGCCTTCAGCGATGATTCTCTGATAGAAAAAATTGACATGTGGAATATGAAATCACTTACGATATCAAAGCAAGCATTCACGTCAAATGTCACAGTGCACAAGACATGGATCGAAGACATCGAAAGCCTCACCATACACTCAGGTGCACTGTCCCGAAACTCGAGAATGACGGAGGCTGAGTTGAAAAAAGTGAAGTACCTCAACATTGAGCCGGATGGTATCGAGGCAAACATTTACAAGCTAAAGGTAAAAGACGTTTTCATGGAAACATGCGGTGAATACACATTCGGGGGCAGGATCGGATATTTATCCCTGAACTCGTCGCATATCAATCGAACTAGAAAGCACTGCATTTCAGCTTGCAAAGGGATGACTGAGCTGATTCTAGAAAACAGCGAATTTGACGAGATCGAAACTTCGGGCATCTGCGGGACCGTTGGGAATGTTCAAATCAAGAACAACAAATTCGGAACAATAGCAAAGGAAGGACTGCAGCTGAATGTTACCAAGTTCTCCATTGAGTACAGCACTATCGCTGAAGCGTCAGAGGAAGCACTTACGGTGCGCGCAGACAACGATATCACTATCAGGAACTGCACAATTGATGTTCTGCAAAAGGGAGCCTTCGGCTCGCTAAGGGTGATGCAGGGAAATGGCACAGCTGACCACCGGATTCTGTTAGACAATCTCCACATAAAACATCCACAGAACGGTTCGCTGCAGTTCGACCAGACCCAGAAGATAACAATGCATGACCTGACATTGGACATTCCCTGTACGTGCGACATAGCGACAGCGCTGGGACTAGATGTATCTTCTGAGAACAAGTTCTGGAAACACCAGCCTCTCTGTGTGATCAAGGACAGACGGCCGCCACTGGACCACTACCTGCAGGAGTTCTGTCCTAAGCCCACCACCATCCCGCCGCCCACTAATCCGACCAAGCTGCTCAGAGGAGGCAGGCCGCCACTGCGAGGCGGGCCGCTACTGCCGCCTCAGACAGCCGGTGAATCAAATGAACAGGACCAACAAACGACCCCCGAGACCAGAGACCAGACGTCCGGCGATGTCTTGGATCAGGTCCGCACTGGCTACACCTACAAGGATATCCCAGTTGCTACCATCACTGTCGCGGTCTTGATGGTGCTAGCCGTCATCGCATTTTTCGTTCGACGTCAGTTTAAACAACGGTCGCGTGCTGAAGGACAAAATGAAGGCCGACGTAGACGAACAAGATTTCGCCGTCGCTCGCGAGATGTCGGACTCCATCAAATGACAGAGACTGTCACGAGAGCCCTGCTGGAATCCCCTGAAACTCGTCCTACTCACGGGAAAGACTCAATTCGACCGATCGGCGCGCCGGTTTACGAGGTAGTGGAGCCAGTCGACATCAACTCTCACACACCAGATCAAGGTGTTCCAACAAACCAGGCCAGTGCAGGGCCCGCCGGAACACACAACACACGTGTAACATATCCAGAAAGAAGAGCCCAGCACGTCTCCTTTATGCCTTTACCGCCACCTCCGCCAACGGAAGCGCTTGAAGAGTGTGCGCACGGCCAGGAAGATGATGCTGATGACGATGTATATGAGACTGTCGAGGCGCCTTACCAGGAAATAGCCGAATGTCATCAACAGATGGAACAGGGAGGGCCCGCAGCAATCGGGCCCGGGTCTCTCACACCCTCACCCTGCCACTATCACCGGCTCAACCCAACCCAACATCACCACCGGTGCCTGAAATCCACGACACACTATGACCATCTCATACACCTACCATGACATCGCGCCGTCACCCAGAAAACCCAGCAGCCGCATTTCAACTCACCTGGCAAGGTATACAAAAATGTACCAGGAGATGAGGGCAGATTTTGTAGCACAAGGTCTCGCTCAGAGCCGTGACCCTCTGGCTGGCCCAGGGCTGGTTCCTTACCTCGTTCGCGGTGTAGCTCAGTGCTCAGATGAATCGTGTTTAGCTCAATGTTAGCTGTAGATACCTGTGTATATATTTGTTGTGTCTATTGTAACCTGTTGGCTGGTATTAAGGTGTTTGTCGCAATAAAATATTTGCTTACGATGAAGTAGCGGCTATGCGAATCACCAAGATGGTGACAGTCATGTTTGACGCTCTTTCGAATGGCGCTTACCGCGTGTCGCTACGTGGCCCAGGAGCCGAATTAGACGGGGGGGGGGGGGAGAGCGTGAAACGCCCCCTCTCTCCAGCGCGATACGGAAATCTCAGACCACCAGCACGGCGCGAGTAAGTCACCTTAGTAGCAGCCATTTGATAAAAAACATTTTAATGGGATGGAGAGGAACCTAGTGAGAGCATATTGTCGGGACCAATGTTCTGTCTTACCCTACATTGCTCTCGATTTCATGAACAAGTTCTTTGAATATTACGATCAGACGATCAGGTGACCGAGACACTCAGCACGCCATTGATGAGCAATCTGTGTGAAGCCATTCGTCAGTCCCCGAGCGCGTGAGTCCTATCTTTCGACGTCAGGCCGCTGTCCCCGGCACACGCACGACGTGATTGCACCCTTAAGGCCGCCCCACACTGGACCTCGCATGCGGGTTGCGAGTTTGCGGGTTTTGAGTTTGCGGGCATGATACTGATTTATAGAGTGATTAGACCGTTCCCTCATGGTAACTTCATGATTGCAGTGAAGCCGGTACACCTTCAGAAAATTACATATAGTCGCAATACCAGCGTAACGAACCAAAATTCGACTTCAAAGAAAAACCCGCAAACCTCGCAGAACTCGGAGACCTCGCAGTGAGGAAAATCGGAAGTTCACTCAAAATCAACTTTTGGAATGCGATGCAAGGTGGCTCGCAAGCTGAGAACATGCAGACTCGCTTGTTAGATGGTAGTATGAGTCACTCAGCATAGATTGTATCCTTTTGTAGACATGGCCGTGATAGACTTTATGCAAAACATTAGTCACATTGTAATGGCAAGCAAGACCAGTTCGA